ATCCATTCTTATAAAATCATATCCAGAGATCATGCTGGCTTTCTTAATGCTTCTGTCAAATTTTTCTTTATCTTTCACCTTACAATTCCCAGCCCAGCAGCAAATACAAAATAATAGCACACTTTCAATCATAGAATGGTAAAAAAGGGACATAATCTTATTGTCAACACGGAAACTTCTTAATTTCCTTAAAAGAAACATTCTTTGATTTACTTTTTTATAGTATACTGACAATGCAAATACTCTTGCATAATGTCTCTCTGAAGTCAAGGATTGAGGCATACAACGACTTAAAAAATCCTTGGTTTGTAATTCCAATTCTTTAAACCAATAAAACTGTATGAAAAAAGCTTTTCAGAGAAAATTGTTTGCTTGGTACACCACCAAATGCCAATTTCAGAGGCCTGTATAGCTTGGAAAGTTATTATCCTGTAAGGTCAAATCTTCATGATGTTTTTGGTAACACTGCACAGTACAAGCTTAAGTTGTTTCAAGCATAGAACAAAGTAGATCAATGCTATCGTGAAAATAACCGAATGACTCATTTCGAACGGTGGCAAAAAATAACAATTTTTAAACCTAGCAAAAACATATATTTTGCAAGTGTAAACTTTCATCAAATAATAATTACTGACATCAGACAGATATTTCATATTGGTCTAAATGTTATATATTATGTAATTAAGAATGCAAAATATGATTAGATTTAACACACAAAATACCTTTAAGATTCTAAAAAGAGAAAAGTTCAGCATTACTTCTATAAATTTGCTCACATTGGCATTGGTATAGATTTTTATTTAGTTAAGTGTTTTATGGCGCTTGCAACTGCATACGGCCATATTATGAGCGCTCGGGGCACATTAAATTTAGTTTTGCGAGAATTAATTTTTTTTTAAATTGTGCCCGGGTGGCGACGAAAGGCTACTCTTATTGATTTTCAGGTGGGTTTTTTTTCAAATTTGAATACATTGTACTACCTCAGGAAAAAATTCATTAAAAATGTTCTAATTCGTTTAGGAAAAATTCAACAAACCATTTCGTAGATCTAGGTATCTATTGTCTACTAACATGTATGCAAAACAATCTATTTCCATGAAAAATAAGACATGTCAACAAAATCCAATATGGCCGCCATCCCCATGGCAACAAAACTTTTTTTTCAAATTTGATTGTGGATTTCAAGACTCCTCACTACGTTTTGTAAAATTTAATCCCATAGCAGCCCCGTCCTCAAATTAAAAATAGTAAACGGTCTTGCATTGTATTGTCGACAGCTAAAAGGCTATGGTACTTTACTATGTAATTTCAAAATATTCGGTAGATCTAGTCCTATAAAGCCTGTAGGCTTTATTTTATTTTATTTTTACTTCACCATTTTTCATTATGTCTTTAGACACACACACACACACACACACACACACACACACACACACG